GGTTACAGTGATTTGAATGGGGAAAAATTAAATGGCTGCAACATGATAATGGTGTATTGGATTCTCATGTCAAGTTTGTTCAGATACAATCTTAAAGAAATTCACCTGCTTCATATATCATACACTTTAATATTGCTATGTGATTGCGAATCATAAAATCTCGCAAAAGTCTTCATTTTTCAACCGGCGATTTGGACCAAACATTAGAAGTCTCCTGCACGTGTTTCACATGAAAAAAGAAGCGTATACTTTCCTCTATCTACTGAGCCTTGCCATTTCTTTTGGCCGTTTTTAGAATCGAATATATTCGGCCTTCGCTTTTGTTGATATAAAATATGATTTTGTTTGACAGGCCGTAATAACACTTTATATTTCTCCAAAGCAGTTATTTTTGGTGTCAAAACAAAGCACACGATTTCAACTGTTCAATTATTTAGCCATCGTGGCCAAACAGTGCACATATCCAGGTACTTTTTGTGTTTTTTCTGTAGTCTCGAATACATCTCGTAAAATCTCGCGTACGCTTTTGGGCCATGCGTGCGTGACCTCGGGACACTAAAGAAACTGAGGTCAAACAGGGCTGTGTGCGTGACACGGCCACTGACTGTTAAGTTGGCTCGTTTTTGTTGGGGGGGGGGGGGGGGGGGCGGGGGGCCCCGGTTGTCCCCCCCCCCCCCCATCCGCCCTTGCTTCCAATTAATCCTCCTAAACTCGAATCCCTCTCTTGATAAAACAAAACAAAACAATCATGTTTGTTGTGCAGAGACAAAGGATGTTGTCAGAAGTTTGGCCGGCCAGTCCGTTGGTTCGACACCTGGAAGCGAGGCTGTCTGTACGTGCTCTTCGGCATCGTGTGCTTCGTCGGCGTGTTTCGGATCACTCTTGGAATCATATGCGGTAAGATTCTAAGTAACTTTACACATCCAACCCAGAAATGATTCTCGGCGATTGTTTTGGTAATCATTTCAATTAATTCAATTTTTTCAATGGAAGGTAATGATCTAGAAGTTTTCAAAGTTGTTTATATTAATTGAAGTACAAATGTTTGTGATAATGTGGTTTTGGGTGTTCGTGTGTGTGTACCTTGGAGTGTGTGTGGGTGGTCACAAAGTGTGAATTCGGAACGAAGAATCTTTAGTAAAGTTTGGATTCGGAATTACGAATCCACACTTTGAACACGTCAGACAATTGTTTTCTATAATGAGCATAAATAGGACCGTCTGCGTGAAAATTTCCTTCCGAAATTACTAATGCATCTTCCCTGTCAGATTCTCCGCCGTCACTGCAAAACCTACTTCGAGTCAGAAAGAAATTGTCGTCTGAACTATCAATTTGTCAACGGAAGGAGCCGGGACAACTGTTGCAACCTGACGCCACTTTTTTTCTCCATATATCATCTCAATGAAGGGCATTCATTGCAAAAATAATGATAAGACATGAATCTGGGACTGAGAAATATTTCCAATTTTGTTAGGAAATACTTTTAAAAATTTTTTGACTCTCCATAGACTTTGTACACAATCGCGGAAGTGGCGTCAGGTTGCAACATTTATCCCAAGTCTTTTCATCTCCACTCACTGTTAATGCAAATATTTTTTTTGACGCAATGGTTTAAGTCGAAGAATACACTCGCAAGTGTGGATTCTTAATTTACTAATTCACTCGGCGCTTCGCGCCTCGTGAATTCTTAAATTACGAATTCACACTTTCTCGAGTATTCTCCTTAACAGAGATATCTCTATTTCAATTTTCGATCTCTATTGGAAATAGAGATAGGTGTATCTCTATTAGCAGAGGTGGATCGAGAATTTTTTGCAGGGGGGTTCATCAGCAAATCATTGCTGAAATGCAGACAGTTTTTATTGTATGGACACTTGGCCTCGTAGAATCAATGGGGGGGGGGGGGGGGCGGGGGGGGGGCTCTAAAAATACTTTCAATGGGGGCGCTAAAGTAGCATAAGTTAAAATCCGACCATTTTAACTCTATTCTACAGAATAGTGTAAAAATACCCCCTAAAAAGCTGTATATTCTGCACAGGTGGACATAATTAACAGTAACATTTTTGGGGGTGGCAAAGCCGGGGGGGGGGGGGGGGGGGAGTGACCTCACCCTGGATCTGCGCCTGATTGGAAATAGAGACATCTCCTCTACATTGACATTGTTTCTGTTTCTAATACGGATATCTCTATTTGAAATAAAACATATCTCTAAATGAAATAGATATATGTTTGTTTCATAAAAGATACCTCTATTTTTAGTAGGGATATGTGATAAAGATATTCTCCATTTGAAACAAAGACATCACTATCAGAAAAACAAATACATGTATCTCTATTAGAAATAGCGATATCTTAATTTTGAGAGTTAATGTTCAGTTTGCACGCCATACGCGAAGCTGAGCAGAGGCTCTTGTCGACATCCTTGAGTTCCGTATTATAACACGCTCTATGACATGTTGGCCTATATCTATTGTTGTCGGCTGTGTACTATATTTTGCCAGAAAGAGCTGCCTACATGGCAAGGCCACAGGTGTTTTTTCCCTCTCCAAACGATATCCGCATGGGGTGCACGTTATGACGTTTTGGACTTTCCTGATAATAAAATCATAAGAAAAAAATATACAATTTGGGGAAAAAAATGAATTCTAAAGTAATGAAATTCGGACTTTATTTCTCTTTTTAAAATCCTCCAAAGCCTCAGATTAGAAAGGAAAAACATTCAGGCAAAAACGGTGATTCAAAATCACGATCCTATCCAACTGAACTATCCAACGGCTCTACAAATCCTGGAAATTTATGGTAATAAACCTCGCTTGTACCCCCGCCCTGCAAACAGGACGCTGGCATACTCTGATGAATTCACGCTCTGATTGGTTGGATTTTGCGTGACCTGTGACCTGCACGTCATCACGGTCATGACTCTGCAAGGTTTGAAACGGCCATTAAGACTCTTTTATCCCAGTTTAGAGATTTTTTTGTTTTCTTTGAAAGCGTAATAATGTATAGGAAATTCTTTAAAACTTATATGCGCGGTGAATTTTCGATTCCCGCCACTTGCTCAGGCTCCGTTTCGAATCACGAACGGTCGGATTGCATTATGCGACGCTCAAAATTTTGTCCACATGGTCCGCTGAAATCATATCCGGTATGGAATGTGCGCATTTCTAAGGAAACTTTTCGGATAGCATTTGCCCACATTGTCTTACTGCTGCAGGCAGATGCATTTGCCATTTCCGATTTGCCTGCCCTTTAATATCCAGTTTCAGAGCATTTGAGGGCCATTTTCGTTCGATGTCCCATGGGAAAGCTCACAACTAATGCAATGCTAGAAAATTATCAATTCAATTCGAAAATTTGTCTTTAGGTGCATGGTGCCACTCTTAAACAGTTCATATCTGTATTTGAATTTCGTTTGCTTAATTATAGTGAGCATGTTATTATAGTCGAAGCTATATTTAGAATTAGAATTAGAAAAACAATATGTATACTTTGCAATAAAAGTAAGGCCTGACTTAAAGTTATAATTAAAGGAAACTTTGTCGTACATTTTCATTGTTAAGAAATACAAAACACCTCCTTGAACTTAAAAACACTGTTTAAAGAAATACTTAACACCTTGATTACTTAATAGATGCTGCTAACAAAAAAATAATACCTTGTTTAATTAAACGATGTAAATGAATACGATGAGCATTGCCTAACTGATCAACGCTGTTAAGAAATACCAAACACCTTGTTTAACCTATAAACGCTTTGCGGAATATTAAACATCTTGTTAAACTTTTAAACGCTGTTAAGAAATACCAAACACCTTTCTTAACCTATAAATGCCGTGCGAAATATAACACATCTTGTTAAACTTATGAAAGCTGTTAAGAAATACCAAACACAAAAACCTATAAACACTGTACGGAATATACAACATATAAACGCTGTTAAGCAATACCAAACACCTTGTCGAACTCAAAAATGCTGTAGAGAAATATTAAACACGTTGTTAAGCTTATTAACGCTGTTTAAAGATATTAAACACCTTGTTGGGCTTACAAACGCTCTTACGAAATAATGTAAACACCCCGTGTAACTTAAGAAATACTGAACACCTTGTTTTACTACGCTGTTAGGAAATACAATAAACCGAACTACTTGTTTAATTATATACATACTTGCTAACTTGCTAACTTCCTTGAAATGTGATTGGTGTTCAAGTGGCGATATCTGTTTTATCGTAGGAAAATGGAATGCAAGGGATACTCAGTTATTTGGGTTGCCCGTCAGTTGCGCTTTGGTATGACGGCACAGGTATTATTATGGTTTACCGGGTGAGTAAAAAAAAAATCGAAAACCAAAAGACGGGACTATTGTTTTGGTGAAGTTCTGCATATAGCACTTGCATAATCTAGGATATAAAAGCCCAATTCACTTTTAGTACAAGAATCATTCAAATCACTTACTTTTCAAGTTACGGAATGTTAAACACAACCACCGTTTTAAAGTTCTGTCCATGGATCACAAAGAAAAGTGTTCAGCAAAAGGAAAACGATTCACACACATCCTATGTGATTTGTTTTCGTTTTGCTGAAAGAACACCTACCTTTTTGTGATTTCTGGACATCACTTTAAAATGAGGTTCGTGTTTAAAATTCCGTAACTTGAAAAGTACATGAGTGATTTGAATGATTCTTATACTAAAAAAAAGCTTATGAATTGGGCTTTCATATCCTAGATTTTGAAAGTGATACATACAGAACTTCACTAAAACAATAGTCCCAACATTTTGGTTTCATTTTTTTTTACTCACCCTGTATAGAAGGGTTTAGATGAGCAACAATGCAGAGTGTCTCAGTGATATGCAACTGTATGGCATTGGGGAAGCATTTTTGATACTATTCCTATAATCACGACAGATCGAGAACATTAATGTCCCCGATTTCAAGGTTTAATTTACAATGTGCCGGTTGTGTGCTGTTTGAAGTGTCACGCATTCCTCTCTACTCCGTTTAAGGATTGAGTATGATGCCCCCACCGATAGCAAAGATGACGGTGAAGACGACGAAGCAGACCAAGTCGATGATTCGAGCGAGTTGCATCAGGAACTGAATAGGAAAAGAGAAAAATGGACAAGACGTTCAATAGTTCAAAATCACAGTGAAAAGAAACATGATTAAAATCGAAATGGCAACAACTACAGATGTGTTTGCCACCAAGGGTCAATCGGCACAGTTCCAAAAATGTGCGGCTTTTATCTTAGAAGCTTTGTTTGCTGATGACGTCATGCCATTATATGCTAATGACGTTTTCTTTGCTCTCGAATTCCAAAGATATCCTTATAGGTCTGATGATCATGTGTGACTTTCACTGGAAATTCGATGGCTTGCGAATTACAAATACTGAACATGAACAATCTGTAGCAGCGGTCAAAGTGATCCCAAACACTTGGCTGCCTATTGGTTGTATTCAATGAAGTCGACCGAGTCCCTATGAAAAGGCGCCACATGCCCATTTTGGCCACTTCTTCTTGTGACCGTGCTACTTAGCTTTCCGACCAAAACTCAACCTCTGCCTGACTTGACAGACTGGAAACCAGCGAAGCACACACCATAAGTGGGCTTGTCCCGAGCTTAGGCATGACTATAAAAGTCAGACTATAGCTCGTCCAGCTTAAGGACAAAAGTATATGTTCAATGTAAGATGGTCTATGTCTAAAATATATTTCCAAGGCCTCTTTGGGGATAGAAACAATGCATGTGCTAAAAAAGGTAACTTGTCAACCTTGCTATCGTGGATAAACGTCTGTTAGGGCCTAGAGGGCAACACACGAAACCTACCAAATTTGGCTTGGGTTGCGCCACGAGCTCCTCCCCGTCTTTGTGGGCGTTACTGTTGTTGTTGCCACTCCCACTCCAGGTTCCCCAACTGGAGAGATTCATTGACACCACACTCTCAACGGCTGCAAAGACGGCCAGAAACACGCTGAAAGTGAGAAATTGAGCCATGAAGGGGGCGTCGGAGCCGTGGATGGGCACGGTCTGGTTGAGGTGGAACAGCTGAAGCAAGAGGCCGAGGATGACGACGGAGCAGAGAACCATCCTCCCACCAGAGAGTGGAGGGATGAGAAAACACAGCAGGATCAGAAGCGATGTGATGACAGAGGGCGCCACAAAGCGGACCGTGTACTCCTTCACTGTGCGTTTGATTTGGATGCGGTACGACAGAGTGATGAACTGCGTGGTGGTGTAATCCTCATACTCAACCACTGTCCTATTCACTTTGAAGGACTGGACCTCCCACTGGCTGTTTTCACGATGGTAGAATAAGGTAGATACTGCATCTTCTAGGATAGTCAGATTGATCGCGGAACCGGGATGGCTCCAGGATTCCAGTCGAAGGTCGCAGGTGTGGACATCGAACGGAAAGTCCTTGAAGTTAAAAGGGCACGGTATGGCTATTTGCAGTGGAAGGAAGTAACTGATAGTCCCATCGAAATGCGCCACCAAAGGGACATCTGCCTCCACAACCCTAAATAAACAGGTGAAATAAAGTTATTTCCATCTTGTTCGGTTGACAAATGTCAATTGTAAAATTGTCATTGTGAAAGAAAAAATTCAGAAATGACCATTTATCTATATATATACAAGTGTATCCTGTATCAACCTTGCTTGCTCGTTAGGCCTTACTCCTTTAGTACAAAATTCCAAAATTACTACAAAACTGCAAATAATTCGTCTTTAAAACATAGATAATAAAAGTGGCGTGACCTGTGCAGTGTTGCTGCATGTTTACAGTGCTTTGACTCAACTACACACGGCTTTTAAGATCAACTCATAGAAACGCTACTTACTGAGCGTACAGCATTCGCAAGTCTGGTCTCCAGATATTACTTGCTTGTAAATTCACATTGGATACTCCACTGTAGTTTGCTGGATCCCACTGGAAACGGTGATCAGACCATAGCTGTAAAATGTAAAATAATGTTGGCAATAAACTCCCTGAAATAATTTTTGTTCCCTTTCTGTGGCGCTATAACGCGAAGCGGCAATATGACCACAGGTGGCAGCGGTGGGATTGGTGAAAACGGTCGTTTCACAATAGTGCCCCTCCAAGAGTTTGCAACGCGTTGGCCAATCACAATGCACGAAATCAGTCGACCTTTTCCAAACGTGCATTGGGTCGACAGATTTTGCGCATTGGGATTGGCCAACGCGTTGCCAACTCTTGGAGGCGCAAATATGAAATATGAAGCGGCCATCACAAACGACAGAGAACAATCACAAGAAGGCGTTATTGAAAAGGGGGACTGAGTTCTGTTCAAAGCATTTTGAAAGTTAGCTCCTGAAAAACTCTATAACATGTTCCATCCCAGGCCAAAGCTGTTGTAAAAACTCTGATTGTTTGACAAAAACAAAAATATTAATGGATCAAACTGGTTCGTCGTTTGGTTACTTACCAAAGTTGCGAAAGCCGAAATTCGGAGGATATTGTCCTTCTCGTCCTGCAATTTAAACCAATCAAGAAGTGTTTTATTCTGAGAAAAAATAATATGCATAACAAAACATGAGCGCAAGCGTTAACTTTTTGTTGGAATTCTTTCGAAAGTGCTCAACAACAGTATACAAGTAAATGAATACTAAAGTAATTGGTGCATGCTAAACAAACACAAAAGCGAATTTCTGACGTCATGGCAAGCTTTGGCGCTGCGAAGTTGGCAAAAAAATCAACTCGGACGAATTGTGAACCGAGCGTATCCTCCCCGAAATTTGCTTCAAATAGGGATATTCCAAAGGGATAGGGATATCCCAAATCTCGGCTTCGTCTCCATTTCGGCTTCGCCTGCTTTTTGGGTCCTATAACTTTGAAGATTTCAGCTCAACATAAGTCAATGTTTTCTTACAAAAATATGAAACTGTATGGTATATGAAGCAAGTGATTTTCTTTAACATCTACTAGCATTTAATGATAAAGCAAAACTGGAGATGATCCGGTATCGAAACATGAGAATCCAATTTTCGAAGAACGGGTCACGAAATCTGGTGGATCACTAATTTCAATTCAACGGACTTACCACACCGTCGATCGAGAAAAGTGACAGGCTATAGGAGACATTCACGGGCGTCTTGGGGATGACTTCCTTGTTGTGCATTTCCATAAGCTCCACAATCAGGTTGTGACGACTGTTGTGTTCCTCGTCTGTGTAGAGACAATACAACATATTATTGTACATGTACCTTATAGTTTTGCAAAGGACAAATCTGCGATGGCCCATTAGCCAAATATCTTTCTCATGACATAGTCTGTCCATTTTCCAATTTCCATGCTTGTACATTGCATCATCAAAGGCACCATTTCCCCAGATATTTTCCCTATCAGCCCCACTTTTACTAAAACTGCTCTATTTCGTAACGGGAGCCCAGATATCACCAACAGGACTACTTTTTAGGGGTACGGATGACTTTAAGGGGTGTGGAATTTCCTCCCAACGTCATTGGTTAACCCCCAAAATATAAACAGAAAACGATTGGCGTATTTATCACTGGATTTTATGGCAGTTTATTTACTAGTCCGCAACCTAGTCCATAGCTAGACATTGCAATTTGATATACGCGATAACCTGCCGCCGCGAGAGGGCGTTATCACGACCAACCGATATCACCCTCGAACCTGTCAGGAACACTCGAACGTCTTGGGCAATTTGTAAAATCTCCTCTGAAATGGGGGAACTATAGTGCGCATGCGCTACTTAGGCAATTACAGTCCATTTCCAGTCCCACTTACACACCACAAAAGAGCTGACCAGTGAAGTTGCACAAACTTCTTGCTGGCGGGGCGATGTACACGATATTCAAAGTTTTCTACTTTGGTTTAACGAATTATTTGGTTTTTGATATGAATCGGTCTGCAGAAGTGCTAGATAAAAGGTTGCAATCTCTGCACAATGAGTTATTAAAAGCACATTGCAACGAGTCTACATGTTATTTTGTTTCTGGATTCCTATCAGTTACATTATCTGTCATTGAAAAGGTTGAAGAAAGCATCGGTTCACTGATGTTAAAATAGGCTATTCCTCGAGCCATCCCTTTTGTAAACTTCGATTGAATTTTTGTCTAGAATAGACATCATGCATGGCAGTGATCAAAATGTGAACGACCCAAGTTCTCGATCTCCGATTTGGGGATGATGACCAACGAGTCGAACGTGTTTTCACACAGGCATGCCCTGCAATGAACATGTACAATGTATCCCAGACACACTCTGACCCGTAAGTTACATTTTCTACAGGGGTAGGGTATTTAAGGCAAATCTGGTTCTTAAAATGGATCTAACATCGGAGGCAACACGGCTTAACTCTTTGAAAAAAACTAGATTACTGGTAAATCGTCAACAAATTCGCACCTTCCTTGAACCCACGGTGTGCATATGGATATGCAGGTGTTTGATACATGTGAGCAACTACCCCCAATAAAAAGCATTTGTGCATGGAGGATAACCATTGTACCACGAACCATAAGAAAAGTACATTGTTGCAGACTTTCTTTGTGGAAATAAAAAATGCACGCATACCATGTTGTCTGGTGGAATTTTACAGACGCTTACACAATAACCGTTGTACAAAATGGCCTATGTACGTCATGTCTCAGGCTACTGTGCACATGCTTTTCCAGTGCTATTTTCAAGTTCACGTACCCCGAAAAAGAAAACACATTCCTTTGAATTGCCATTTTTTCAAGAATTAACGGTCGAACCCTGATAAGAAGAGCACTGTTTAATAATACAACATCCATAGTCTTTGTTTTTCGTTGTTTGCCATTACTGATAATGCAAGGCACGTTATAACAACTGGTAATTTGTAAAGTCCCAAAAAACCTCGTTATAAAGGTATTCGACTGTAGTTAGTTCACTTTTGGGTGAGCCATTGACCGGAAGAAAATGTTGAGTAATTGAGTCCCATGTTGAGTAATTGCAGTATTATACTGTGTGTATACAATTTCGGAATATTGGCTGGCAGACAATGGCCGTATTCGAAACTCTGTCCTCGAGTGACCCGCTAATAGCAGGGTGACCGTTTTAGCCGATTTTCGGCTAACTTTGACAGATTTTTTTGTTTAAAAACGAGTTTGACAGAAAATATGACATAATGGATATTTTTGGCATATTTCTGGCAGAGTTCTTCAAAAATAGTTATTTACAGAATACCATAGCAAATGTGAAAAAAAATGTACATTTGTTAAAGAAATCTTCAATCTTTTTCAAACAAACCCTTGCATAATGGGAACGGTTGGCTGGTCTAGGCGCTGAGGTTCACTGGGAGCTGGACTTCATGCCGCAACCGCGTTTTGCCTGAAATTTACGCAATAATTTCATAACATCTTTATGTGACTATAAATTGTTAATAATGTAATTTGAACCTTAATTTAGTAAGTACTACAAATCTGCATGTGATTTTAAGGAGTTTTAGTGCATTTCGAAGAAATGTGGGGAATTTGGCAGATTTTTGATCAATCTGACAACTTTTTGAAGCGCATTTAGCAGAATATTGCCATGACCTTACGGTCACCCCGGCTAACAGTGTACATGTATTCGTGTTGTCGATTACGAACCCCCAAGTGCTTGTGAAGTGTAGTAGGACGAAAATTCAAGCTAGAAGCCGCCGTATCCAAACGCCAAATGAAAAGAATTTTTATGAAAATAATTCAAATAACAGCTCTTAATATTGGCAAAAGAAAAGCATAAGAGAAAAGCCCAATCTGTGACCATGTAGAATTTTTTTTGTATCGTAATGCTCCTGCAGTGAATAAACGTTTTAAATTGTATACACAAATATCAACGCAAGTTTTAGTGGCCCAAATTCGCCATTTTTTTCATGACGTTCTGTATCTACTCCCTAATCAGTACAGTGGGGAGTGAGAATCTTGTTCGTAAACACCGTTCGCGAGTTGGTTGAACACGAGAACGGGCCGGTTCCGAATACACCCTTTGGGTTTAGGGCAGGTTATCGCATCGGTGGGTTACCGCGAATATCACACCATAACCACGAAGTTACGTTAACCCCCGCAAAGAGGAAATGTGCGTTTCGAGATACAAGCGATTTAAGTTGATGGTGTTTTGAAACGGTGATCTGAATATCGTTTTAGCCTCAAAATTCATATTTTGTTGCATTTTCTGAAGGCTGGGATCTTGAATGACGCGTTGATGTATGAGTTTTATTGAACAACATTAATGAGTTATTAAACTAATTAACCATGAGTATACTTCGTGAAAACTCCAAAATCAGATAACGCTGTGTTCGAGTTTTAACGAAGTGACGCTTACCATGAGCTTCCCCCACCCCAACCCCCTACCCACACCCATCCCATCCTCCCCTACCCATTCCATCCTCCCCCTACCCATTCCCACCCAGTCACCTACACATCCCAACCCCACCCAAACTCCAATCCTTATCTCCTTCCCCCTACCCTAACCCCTACACCCACTTACCCTATCCTCCCCTATCCCTCCTTACCCACCCCTACACATCCCCACCCTAACCCCTACTCAAATCCCTATATCCCGCCCACCCCATTCCCCCTTCCCATATTGACCCATACATCCCCGCCTGACCCCAACCCCTACTCCGATCCATATACATGTAAACTGCCCCTTCCCCTTACCCAACCCCCACACCAACCTACCCATCCCCAACCACCCCTACACTTCCCCACCCAAACCCCTGCTCAAATCCCTATTTCCCTCCCCCTCCCCGACCCCCCCCCCCAACCCTCCCCTACCTGTCTCCCCCTACCCGTCTCCCCTACCTGTCCCCACAGGTCATGTCCTCAATACGCTTTACTATTTCGCCTGGGCGGATTACTAATTCGCCTGGGCGAATTATTATTTCGCCCGGGCGGATTACTAATTCGCCCTGGCGAATTTTTTAGTAGTCTGCCCGGCCGGGAGAATTAGTAATCTGCCCTGGCGAATTAGTAGTCTGCCCGGGCGAATTAGTAATCCGCCCGGGCGAATTAGTAATCCGCCCGGGCGGAATAGTAATCCGCCCGGGCGGAATAGTAATCCGCCCGGGCGGAATAGTAATCCGCCTGGGCGAAATGCTAATCCGCCCGGGCGAAACACCAATCCGCCCGGGCGAAATACTAATCCGCCGGGGCGAAGTAGTGGGCCTAAAAAATATTTTCGGTCATGTCCTCAATACGCTTTCGTAGTATTAGCTGTCTCGCCAGTTGATTTAAATAAAATCAACCATTGTCATTTTTGTTTATTTGATCGGGCTCGGTATACACGTCTATCGGCTACCCATGAGATATGAACGAAACGAAAGAACACTCGTTATAGAATTGTAAAGCCCGACCCAGGTACCATTATCCCTTTGTGTGAGTACCATGGAGGTAGCTCTCGTAAAAACATGTTCCTCTTCGCTAAATCTCCTCGGTTGTATGGCTTGCATCTCAAAAATTCTGAATAGCAAGGTCACAAGGTCCCTTTGTGTAACAGTTTTTGCAGCCCCAGTCATCAGTCAATCTTTACATCGTTGGCGGCTGCATGCCTTAATCTGAATATTTTTGTGTGTTTAGGCTTTGAATCCCAGCATCAGTTTTGCACACGAGTATTTTTTTTTTTACCTATATAGCACTTCGGTTTAATAATAACATGTTTATCAGAATAAAGGTTTATGGATGTTTCTGGAAAATTGTACGTTCTTTTTATGTCTGGTCCTACATACTAAAACGTCTTTAAAAAAGAACATGCATACAATGTGAAAATAAATTTTATCAGGTCGGCAAAATGCTTAAGTCCAAACATTCAACAACGGGCTGAAAAAAAAAATAGTCCCTTTCCAAAGTAGCAACCTCAGTGGTGTATTGAGCGACTCAATTATGGCTTCACTGTCATTGCTTTCATCAGGCTGTTTATTTTTTAACCCGTTTGGCGGACTAATCAAGGGAAGCCGACAGTTTTGCGGAGCCTAGCCGGGCGTCGTACTCGCCTAGTTTAATTCCTCATCAGCGATTGTTTGCTCAACTTGAGAATGAGGGGGTGTCTGACAGATTTTGAAAACATATTTGTTTAAAAAAAAAATCACACCTAGTGGGTCCATTGTACAATCACCCTGCCTCTCCCCCCCTTCCAAAGAAAACTATTCGAACATGACTATTTTATGAGTTCAATTTAGTTTCGACTTCGAGGTGGCACTGTGTTTTGTCATTCATGTCCTTTCGA